TTTATTGAAGAGAACTTGATAGGTAAAGGTAGATACCTTGTTCCCATTCTGTTCGGGTTTGGGATGTTGTTGCCTTTGATTCTCTCTTTGGGGAGCCATAGTGGACATATTCTGGCCCTCTTAATCTTGGGTTTTTTTGGTTGTTTTTATATTTGTGAATTTTTATTTGGTGTTCCCCGTGTGTAACACTGTTTTGAGGTTACTTCTTGTAGGGGCTGGGTCATTGTCCTTGGTGAATTCCCCTTCTGAGCTTTATGTGCTTGTTGAGGAATGTCTTTCATTTTTCTCTTATATACGAAGCCTTAGTTTGCCAGGGAAATAGATTCTGGAGGGCATTGTACCGTTTTGTCTTTCCAGAAGAAAGAGTGGAGAATGGGCCCAGTTCTACTCCTTGGCTTGGTAAAGTCTCAGTAGAGAAGTCTGTGTTATTTGAATTGGCTTTTCTCGTTGTAAGTTACTCTGGGCTTCCCCTTCTTCTGGTCTACAAGCTCTTAGAATGGCCTCTTTAGTTGAATTAGTTTTGGTCAGTATGGATGACTGATGAAACGTCCGCGGTCTTTCCTCGTTTGCGATTGATCTCCCAGGGCGTCCTCCCTGCGCTTCTTGAACTTGTTATACCTCGAGATTTTGAAGCAAGACCTGGGAAATTTTCCTCTATTTATCTTCAAAAAAGCTTGCCCCAGCCTTTGGATGTTGTCTTCCTTCCCCTTCTGGGGTAAGCCTATGAACCCCTCAAAACGCCTTAGGTTTCTTCAGATAACTCTCACAGCTCTTTAGGCCTTTGACGTCGTGTTTTCTCCTTGCGTTTCTCTGCTTCTATCCTCTGTGGACTGGGAATTTATTTTAACCTGGGAAGGTGTTATACTTCAATCTCTGAGATCTTTCTTCTGGTTTGATTACCTGTTCTTGTGAGACTTTCCACAGTATTTTGTAATTCCCTGAGTTGATTCTTCATCTCCAGGACTTCGGTTAAAGTTTTCTTCACTGTGTCAATCTCTTTAGTGAATCTTTGTTCCATATCCTGGAGGCTTTTTGTGGTTTCTTTGTGTTGGTTATTGAGTTGTTGTTGCAGGTCCGTGAGTGTTCTTATTATCCACATTCAAAATTCCTCTTCTGTCATTTTGGTTTCCTGATTTGGGTTGGCCCTTTGGGGGTGATGAAGATGGAACCTTATAGACATGCTGATTGCACAACATTGTGAATGTACTAAATGCCACTCAAACATACATTTTAAAAATGGTTAACTTTATGTTATATGAATCTCACCTCAATTTTAAAATGTACATAAAAAGGAATTTTGTTCCTCAAAAATCTAAACATAGAATTACCATATAATCAATCAATGCCACTCCTACATATATACCAAAAGAATTGAAGGCAGGAACTCAAGCAGATATTTGCACACCAATGTTCATACCAACATTATTCACAATAGTCAAAAGAGGTGGAAACAACTCAAATATCCATTGACAAATGAATGGATACACAAAAAGTAGTGTACACAAACAATGGAATATTATTCAGCCATTAAAAGGAATGGGCCTGGCTGGGAGCGGTGGCTCACACCTGTAATCCTAGCACTCTGGGAGGCCAAGGCAGGTGGATCGCTCAAGGTCAGGAGTTCAAAACCAGTCTGAGTGAGACCCTGTCTCTACTATAAATAGAAAGAAACTAATTGACCAACTAAAATGTATATATACAAAAAATTAGCTGGACATGGTGGTGCATGCTTGTAGTCCCAGCTAATCCGGAGGCAGAGGCAGTAGGATCGTTTAAGCCCAGGAGTTTGAGGTTGCTGTGAGCTAGGCTGATGCCATAGCACTCACTCTAGCCTGAGCAACAAAGTGAGACTCTGTCTCAAAAAAAAAAAAGGAATGGCCTGGGCGCAGTGGCTCACACCTGTAATCTTAGCACTCTGGGAAACCAAGGCAGGAGGATCATTTGAGATCAGGAGTTCGAGACCAGCCTGAGCAACAGTAAGACCCCCTCTCCACTAAAAATAGAAAACATTAGCCAGGCGTAGTGGCACATGCCAGTAGTCCCAAATACTTGGGAAGCTGAGGCAGGAGGATCACTTGAGCCCAGGAGTTTGAGGTTGCTGTGAGCTAGGCTGACGCCACAACACTCTAGCTCAGATGACAGAGTAAGACTCTGCCCCACCCTCCAAAAAAAAAGAAAAGAAAAGAAAAGGAATGAAGTCCTGAGACATGCTACAACATAGATGAACCTTGGAGACATGCTAAGACAAAAAAAAAGTCAAACACAAAAAGACAAACACTTTAAGATCCTGCTTCTACGAGGCACCTAGACTAGTCAAACTCACAGAGACAGAAAGCGGATTAGAGGTTAGCAGAGGCTGGGGGTGAGGAGAGTGGCAAATGATTGCTTAACATTCACTACGTTTCTGTGTGAGGTTAGTGGAAATATTTAGAAATAGATGGTCATGGTTGCATAACACAGTGAACGTAACTAATGCCACTGAATTAATATTTAAAATGGAAAACTTTTTGTATAAAAATATCAAAAATATCTATTTTAAAAAAGAAAGCATTACAGGTCCTTCACGCCTTAATTTATGTGTACTCCCCCCCAGAGAAGGACAGAAAGAGTTTCCCCAAGGAGGCCACCTCAACCTGGGCTGCATTTTCTTGCAGGAGACTTTCCTGTTCCTGTCATATCTGCGGAGCCCGGCTCTGTGATCCCCTGCAACGGCTCTGTGAAGATCCAGTGCCGGGGAACTCCCGAATCTTACCTGTACAGACTGGTGACCCTAAGAAACTCCACGTATGTGGAGGTAGATAAAAAGCTGGGAATCAGTAAAGAGGCCGAATTCATCCTCAGCCGCGTGGATGAGGACGCCGCAGGGCGCTACCGGTGCCGATACAAGAAGCAGTTCAGCTGGTCAGAGTACAGCGAGGCCCTGGAGCTGGTGGTGACAGGTAAGAGGACATTCAGAGGCCAGGCGCGGTGGCTCACGCCTGTAATCCTAGCTCTCTGGGAGGCCGAGGCGGGAGGATCGCTCAAGGTCAGGAGTTCGAAATCAGCTGGAGCAAGAGTGAGACCCCGTCTCTACTAAAAATAGAAACAAATTAATTGGTCAACTAAAAATATATAGAAAAATTAGCCGAGCGTGGTGCCACATGCCTGTAGTCCCAGCTACTCGGGAGGCTGAGGCAGGAGGATCGCTTGAGCCCAGGAGGTTGAGGTTGCTGTGAGCTAGGCTGACGCCACGGCACTCACTCTAGCCTGGGCAACACAGTGAGACTCTGTCTCAAAAAAAAAAAAAAAAAGAGGACATCCAGTGTCTCCAGCCCTCAGGTGGGTTTTTTTTCCTTTATTTTTAATAGATTTTATTTTTAGAATAGATTTAGATTTACAAAAAACATTGAGAAGATAACGACAGAGAGTTCCCCTGTACCCAGCACCCTGTTTCTCCTGTTGTTGTCGTTTTTTATTAGTACAGTACCTTTGTCACCACGAATGAACCAATATAGATACATCGTTCTCAGCTAAGGTCTATAGTTTATTTATTAATAGATTTCCTTGGTTTTTACCTAATGTTCTTTATCCATCCCAGGATTCAGTTCCGGATCTCACATTGCATTTGGCTGTCATGTCTCTTGAGGTCCCTCTTGGCTGTCACAGTTTCTCAGCCTTTCCTTGTTTCTGACGACTTTGGCAGTTTTGAGGAGCACTGGCCCATTGGTTTTTACAACGTGCCCACTATTGGAAGTCGTCGATGTTTCCCTCGTGACTAGACTGGGCTGTGGTTGTTGCAAGGAAGACCACAGAGACAGTGTGCCACTTTCCTCTCATCATGTCAAAGGAACATTCTATCCACACGGAACAGTGCTGCTGATGTTGGCCTCCAGTGCCCGGCCGGGCCGTGTTGGTTAGGCTTCTCCACTGTAAAGCTACTCATCTCCCACCACCCCCACCCCCACCCCCACCACTACATGGCCGGGCGCGGTGGCTCACACCTGTAGTCCTAGCTCTCTGGGAAGCCGAGGCAGAAGGATCTCTTGAGGTCAGGAACTCAAAACCAACCTCGACAAGAGCTAGACCCCGTCTCTACTAAAAATAGAAAAATTAGCTGGATGTTGTGGCGTGCACCTGTAGTCCCAGCTACTCGGGAAGCTGAGGCAGGAGGATCCCTTGAGCCAGGAATTTGAGGTTGTAGTGAGCTAAGCTGATGCCACAGCACTCTAGCCCAGGCAACAGAGTGAGACTCTGTCTCAAAAAAGGAAAGAAAGAAAAGAAAGAGAGAAAGAAAGAAAGACGAGAGAAGAAAAAGAGAGAGAGAAAGGAAGAAGGGCACGGCAGGAAGAAAGGAAAGGAAAAGGAAAGGAAAGGAAAGGAAAGGAAAGGAAAAGAAGGAAAGGAAAGGAAGGAAACAGAAGAAAGGAAAGGAAAGAAAGGAAGAGAAAGGAAGGAAGGAAAGGAAAGGAAGGAAAGGAAAGGAAAAGAAGAAGGAAAGGAAAGGAAAGGAAAAGGAAAGGAAAGGAAAGGAAAGGAAAGGAAAGGAGAGGAAAGGAAAGGAAAAAGATCACTACATGCAGCTCACACCTAGGGTCCGGGGCGTGGTGCTGCCTGCTGGTTCCACCTTGATTTGAGCCTATCCTCAGAGTGGCCTGGGCATTGTGTTTCTAAATAGTGTCCTGTGAATTTTTATGTCCTTCAATTGGCTGACATTCTTTTTACACAGTGTCTCCTCCTTCAGCCCCTGACGATCGGGCTCCTCTCAGACTGTCCGGGCAGCCATTCCCCCCATCCGAAAGGTGAGGGGGGGATTTAGGAACTGGGTCATTTTGCGCAATACAGCTGAGACCAGAGTCAACGAAGCCCAGGGCCGGGCTGGGAAGGGCCAAACCTCAGGCACCACCCCAAAAAAAAAATTGGCTTCTAAAAAGTTAACTTTCTCTCAAGGCGCTGGGCCTGACAACTGCCTGTCGTCAACGCGAGAACCAGTTTTTATCTGCCAACTCAAACCCGACACAACTGTTCTCGTGTTTCGGCACCAGTTTTTGTGCACCAGGTCACTACCAAGCCAGCAGCTTCCAAACTCATCAGTGATGACGGAAATTTCTCACCAAAC